GTTTGGGGGGAAGTTCGCGGATAAATTTGGATCAAGAAGATGAAACGTCTCAGGATGAATTGCGGCAGTTAGTCCTAAATCAGCCTAGCTGCCAGAATCATCTTGCGAATGACTAAGTCCTCGTCCTCAGCGCTATGTCCTCTACGCAGTGAGCCCGTGAGCCCATCGCACAGATGGTGTGCCGTGCTTGGCAGGTACTATTGCTCTCCGGGTCGGCATCACCGCTCTTCCCCTCAACAACCTGAACAGAAAGTGTGAGCTGTGGCTCTCAAAGCGCACTCCGAGAGCACTCCTTGGATTCCAGAAATGATCGGTCGTCATGTTGGATGATTTGACCAGTTGAGCCTCTTGTGCAAGAGACTGACACAGTGACACCGGATGGAAATCCTATGACGAGCACCATGTACTCCAACCTGGCAGGATCGCAATTTTTATCGCTGTTGGTTTCACGCAGCAGAACATGACGATGAACATCGGAAAGCTGTTGGCATCATCGGCATCACTATGAATCAGTCTTCTTGAAACCAGTCGTTTCTGTGATTGTCCAACAGCGCTCCTTCAAGCTCAGCAGAGCGCCTCGGAGCTTGCTAGAATTTGATCTATCCTTCTACTCCCGCCACCTTACAATTGCTCTGTACTCGAGCGGGTCCCTATGTTGGGTGCGATGATATGATGCGGGTGGTATTCCCTTTCAAGAAACGCCACTATTGAATGCAAACCTCGGAGCATCCTTGTATCGTGAAGTAGCTGACTCGATACTTTCGCCAGGGCGACACGAGTACAATTGAGACACCATTCACTCCAATCATGATTGAGTGGAGCAGTGTTCAGTGTTCGTCCGCCAAAAATGTTGGGCGGGATGACCGACATCCGCTTGCGCTTGAGCTTGAGCTTGAGCTTGAGCTTGAGCTTCAACCTGAACTGGATCTGACCCCTGCACGATCAACGCCAAGCTTATTCCCAATACGGCTAGCAGAAGAATCAAGTTCTCCGTGGCCCGCTTACTACTACGAGTACTCCGTACTATGGGGGTCCATTGGCTGATTAGCCTTTATTGGCTTCACTTCCCAGCTAAGAATCGCACGAGCTCCGCTGCTATGACCCCATGAGCAGTAACGGAGTACCACTGCACACCACCAGTTACCTGCTCTGAAATCAGTGCCCCCCCATATTATTTGGTTCCATTCGCCTCAATCCGGAGACTCGCTCAGATGGTTCGATTGCGGGCTCGGACAAACTATGTACCAATGTACCCAATGTTTGGAGCAGCTCGATGCCAGGCTCTAGTGGACGCCCCCTCTTCTTGGGTGACGGAAGTGCTCGAAGCATCACAATCAATCGACGCTGTACACGCGCCTCAAGGTTTAAGCTTACCCCGCAATTATTGGTCCTCCTATGCAGCATGGTCACAATTCCCGTTTCTGTCAGCTCCGTTACGTTGCCGCATGACGCTTTTCTGACCTCTGGCTTACTAGTACTCCGCCTTGCTCGATGTCTTGTGGCTTCACCTCCAAATAACCCTGACGTGGTTGCACAACCTCCGGTATACCTGCAAGCATTAAAGCGGAACTTCCTCCAGGACGGCTACACTTGCTTGTTGCCGTCAGCATCATTCCACTGCAGTCGTGACATCTGGGAAACAAGCCGAACTCCCCCTAGCCTCTTTTTCTTTTGTGGTACTTGGGTAACGGTGGACCACAGCTCTCTTGCCCTTCTGCCTTTCTGTTCTAGTCGCGCTTCTCCAACCGTTCCTGGGTATCTTTGTGACGACCATGGCATTCGCGCATCTCCAGCCTTGTTGATTGTTCACTGTGTAACGAGTTCATTTGCTTCGCCTGAGCAGTTCGTAGGACAAGCTTGCCGGTGCATGTCCCCTTTCCCATCCGACCATTCCGCCAACGCAATCGTACCATCGCCTATGGCAGTACAAGACTGGAACTTGGATTGACTCTTCGGCTTCCTTTAGGACATGTCGTATGTAACATCAAAACCCGCGTCTCAGTCATATGCGTATCTTCACGGGAAAAGTATGGCACTGGTTCTGATGAGGCTTGCTTCAGGTCACCACCAGCGCACAAGCGACACAAGTCGTCAGCCTCCGCGGCGTCTCCAACTAGAATGTCGGCACAAATATCCTCCAGCCAGCCGCCGGTCACCGCTGAAGGCTCAAGCGCCCATGCAGCGACGATTTCTTCACCAGCCAATCCCCGCAAGCGTCGTGCCTCGAACACTGCTGGCTCACCTTCTACCGCGTTGACCGCTACATCCACAGCCCCCGAAGCCGCGATGGCTACCGGGCCTTCAGAACCACCAGAGCCAGCAACAAAAAAGAAAGGCAGGACTAACACACCGTGGACGCCGGAAGAGGAGCAGAAGCTGCAGCAGATGCGAGGAGAGAACAAAGGTTGGAGTGAGATCGCCAAGGTGAAATGAAGTTCCCGGGCCGTTTCATGAAAGACTGTTACTGATGCCCGAAGTCATTTCCCACGAGAACGGAGGGTAGCGTCAAGAAGCATTGGTACAAAGTCTGCTTTCCCCCGAAGGAAAAAAAGTGAGGGCTACATGCGCTAACAGCGAAAAGGACATGCATTATGCCGAGTTCAATGAAGAAGAGGTACGTCCCAGAGCGCGAGCCTTGGATGTCCCGTCTGACTTACAACTGCCTGGTAGGTCTCCCTGCTACGGGAAGCGATCAGAGAGTACGAGGCAAGCAAGTGGAAAACGATTGGGCAGAAGGTTGGGAAGCCTGCGAAGGTGGGCATTCTATGGACCAGCTGGCGGAGTCAAATGGCTAATGCCTCCAACAGGCCTGTGAGCACTACGCACGAGAACATTTCAGGAGTTCGTGACCCAAGAGATGTTCTATCAGCATCTCGACCATATTTCTTGCGTGGCGCTCGGTGCATGATGTCCTCAGGGTTTCTTTACCACCGCCGGGGTGGTAGTACGGATTGGGTTGGCTGCTTTGATGTGCTCTTACTACTATTCGGACGATGATACCCCTATTCGCGCAATGACCAATGCATAGCAGATTGAGCCCTTGCGCCAAGAGATAATGCCCAGAGGCGTTTACCAAGCATTGTTCACATCCTGCTGGAAAACCGAGTGAGATTTTCAGGGGATGGGAACCTATTTTGGCCTTGCTTGGCTTTTATCACGGTCTCATGTTCTGCGCGAGAGGGAGCTCTTTCGAGGAGCGCAAGTTCACCTTGTCACGAGTTGGTATGTCCTCTTCTCTCCTCAGCAGGCCACGGGGGGGAATACGGCAACCGACAACACACGCCAATCACTCGGCGTGCGCAGATAAGCCGGGTGTAGAGAGCTGTAGACGGTTCCGGAAGGCTGCAGATGTCACATCTGCAGGCTGCAGCGCCGTTAACAGAAGACTTTGGCCCAATCAAGGCTACTTGTACAACTCAGCGGAAGGTGCATAAACGGGACGCAGGAGCGTGGCAGTCATTCTGTCGCGCTAAGCACTGATCCTGGTGAGGATGGGGCTGTTATTTGTCAGCTAGGTGACAAGTAACCTGGCAAACGGCGCGAAGGGCAGCAAGACATTGACTGCACTATTGACACGCTCGTGCAGAAGTGGTATGCAGAAGCCGTATGCAGAAGCCGTATGTAGTCTGAATGCTAGATAGCAATGCTGCTGGTAGGAGTTGTAGGGGATGACAAAACATCTACTTCCTACTAGTACTTCAAGTTATGGTCGGAGTTCAATGACAAGTATTCTTCGGTCTTGGCACCATATCGCCCTCACTGCACTGCACTGCACTGCAACTGGAGTCAATAGTACGGAGTGTGGGCTCAGGCCGGGTGCAAAAATTCGTGGCCGACTTGCTAGAATCAAACACATCTTGAGTCTGCGAACTAAGGAGGTCCGATTGATAAGGTAGCTTACTCACCGTTCGTAGATACTTTTCAGTGAATTTCAGACACAGAGAACACCTGGCCTCAGGGCCTCAGGCACTGGGCAGCTTCCCCTCACCCGAAAAACTCTTTCTTCCGGGGGCTGCGTCATGATTTACCTCAGCAGTCGATCTGATCTAATCTGATCTAATCTTCTAAGACACTGACTCGGACAATTTGTTTTTGGTTTTCAAGTCGACTTCTCATCTACGCAGCTAGTGCTCAGCAATATCTCCACTCAGCCTCTGTGCCCCCGGTACGTGGACCTGCAGCCCTTTGCGCCCGGAACTACACTTGGTAAAGTGTGACCAATGCTCCTCAACACCTGCACTGTGCCACCCAATTTATCCGTTGCTGACCCATTGCGTGCATAGATTCCGATACTCGCACAGCGTTCCGCTTCAGACGAGCGTACTGTCCCCTCATCCTTCCATCATGAAGTCAAGTAGCGAAGCGTTAACTGAGGATCAAGGTAAACAGGGAAACTGCATGATACCGGTGTTCGTCTTGATCTGCCAGACCAGAGGCTGCTACAAAACGCAAGTGCAGAGCCTGCTCGCTCTCTTTTGTGCCCGTTCTGTGTCGAGGGAAGA